ACAAAAAAAAAAAAAAAAAAGAGTAAAAGGGAAAAGAATATCGGAAAGGAAGCTTAGATTTCGATATCTACATCGAGTCGAAGGCTTACATACAGACAGTACCTTTTATGACATCATGCCCTCTTCAGGTACCAGTGGCGGTTCCACAGCCGGTCCCAGTGGCGGTCCCAGTGCCCCAGCCATACCCAGTAGTGCAAACCAAAACTGTCGCGGTACCCGTGGACAGACCTGTACCAGTCACGGTTCCAGTTAAGGTAGCTGTGCCTGTACCCGCCCCATACCCCGTCAAGGTAAGTCAAAATGGTCGATTCGGACGGTTCTCGTGATAAATTTTTCATCCGAAAACGTTCCATTCGAAATGCCTTTTAAAATGTGCGTTCACAACCCTCTGCCTATTTCACATTTTCAGGTGGCAGTCCCTCAGCCTGTCCCAGTCGTCGTTCAACAGCCAGTTCTCGTTAAAGAACAAGTTCCCATCCTCCTTAAAGGGGGACACGGTTTGGGACACTACTAGATGAATTTTCCCTTCGAACTGCGAGTTCGACCAGTCTTCGCCTAGACACCCTTGCAGCATCGCAAAAATCATTATGACGAGAGCATTAACAAAACACGTTCTCCCGCGTAGCAAATATGAATCATGCAATAAACTGATTTTATAAATGTTTTTTAAAGAAACGTTTGTTACTTTCTACACGTTAACCCTTTCATCCCTTTGAGCTTCGGAAGCAACCTGCGCGTCAATTCCCTTCAGCTGTTGTATGCATGTTGTTGTACGTATACTTACATACAATTATACTTCGCTGCCTGCGCGTGTTGCACAGGCAGAGTCAACCGGTACCCGAATCGTGCTAAAATGTCAGCTAATTCGTCCAATTTATGGCCATCGAGTGGGCTATCTGATCGAGCTCTGGATTTCTCGCAAACAGCGTGTCACTTTAATATTATAAATCTAAATTCGCGAGTATGGAGAATTACGCGATCGACGAGAAGTCTATCGAGAATGACATCGAAGGCACGATGGCCTCGACTGATCGTGAAATTATTGGCTGATTGCTCGCGTGTCGCATTAACGACCAGGAATTTCTGCGATATTAATTACCTGCGAATAAAACGTTTCGACACTTCCTTGGGCGACAGGCCATTACTATACTTTTACGAGCGCTATCTGATTCACCATTGTGTAGAGACTACCCACGAACCGCGACGTTCTCAAACCGAACCTTGACTGCAATTTCGCGCTGTCTGGGAACCTCCCTCATCCTAATTTTCAATATCTCACGACGTTCACGGAATGCAGGTCAAGCAGTGAACTTTCCTTCGAGTTTCCATCTATTTTATTCTATATATAGAAGGCACTTTTTCCGCTGTCTGACAAAGGACTGCTGAAATTCTTCCGAGACGTCTCCGTGCTAACGAAACGCCTGCATCAAACGAATTTCTGCCACGTATGGCAGGTTATTCCCTGAATTGTTCGCGATGCCTCGTATTTGGCAACCTGCAAATTGCCTGCCATGTTCCACGTCGAACTGCATTCGTTGTTCTATTTTCTCCACATTTTTATTTACGCATCCCCCTCTACTCTGCCACCGAACCGCGTAGGCACGAAATTTCACCAAGAAATTCCTGCCAATTTATTGGCCAGAATTATACAACTGGGCAACAAATTTAGCCTGGAGCGATTTTCTATTGGCTCAGATTTAGTTTAAAGCCACGTGCGTTATGGCTTTTTCATACGACAGAAATTCGTTATGTCTTGCCAAGAAGAAACGCAGGAACGTTATCCCTCGTAAATCGTACATTACATACGAGTATCATAACGTCTAAAATATTCTATTACGAAATCGTATAGAGGAACAGAAATTGAAAACGCAAATTCTTAAGTTTACGTCTTGCACTATTCATCTCCGTTCACTTCTGAAGAACGCATGTAAATCATTATTAATTTTTAGAAAGTCTTTTGCTCCGTCTATCATTATCTGCTGCACACATTCCGATCATGTTGCGACACCAATTAATGCGAACCTTAATTAACGACTCTGTCACGTCAGTGGCGCGTATTTTTCTATTTCTCCCGTTAGAATCGAAAGAGAAAACCGCGTCACGAACGAAATTTATTTTTATAAAATCTGCGCCGTTTCACCGAATCGTCTTGCTAAATTTATTACGAATTTCGAGTTATCTAACCAGGCCTAGACGGACTATTATGGCAGAAATAGTCGGCGAGGTATCGCCATAGACCGAGTGCCATGTCGTTTCTTATCTTTTGCTATACATTATCGCTCGGACGTTTAACTTTCAACGACTTAACTTTCGTTCAGGATAGGTTATTCAACGACTCGGGTACGTGTAATTCAGTGTCACCATACTCTGGATGGATTACGCAATATTTCGTTAAACGCCAAACGCGAGAAACATGGTAATTATGTAAGGGCCGTTTCGTCCTTCGTGCAAGAAAGTAAACTCGAAGACGAAAATACTCTAAAAACGAGTTTTTTGACACGGTATACGTGTTGTGACGCCTCGCTTTCAAACGAAATCCCACTTGCCTGATTAATTTCGTTCATTTCCAGCCAAAAGTTACGTTCACTTCGTGAAAGGGATCCTTGAACTTCGAAGAAAAATACGAAATAAAACTAAACAGCGCCCCCCGTTTCAAAAATAATTGGCGCGGTTTAATGCCCGTGTCAATTTTTTCGAGGGAAATTAATGAATTACAGCTGTAATTGATTTTGACAAAGTTTAGGCATTAATCGACCCCCTTTGCGGCTTTCTGCTGCACTTCAGTTTGGCATATAACTCATGCCATGACACTGCGATCGTCCCATAAATCAGCTTTGCTTCGTTTAACATGGATGTTACATTAAAAATTATCGATATATTTTGCAAATGAGTTATTTTTTCTCCGTCTGGCGAGCTTTACCTTTTGTTCCTGTTCGTATTTTCGCAGGATTCCTGCGCGATTATTTCATAATAACGAAAATAATTTATGCAAATCGACCTTGTCCGGTATTAATATATTCTTGTCATAAATTGAGCGAAATTTTGAGGCTTTAAGGTGTCACGAAAATGTGTCACCTTGTGAAATGTTAGAGAACATCTGTTTTGACGCTTAAGTAACTCCAACCTGGAAGGTGCTGGAAAATAAAAATTTACACCTGGGATGAAAATAATCTAGGTCTGACGAAATCGAGAATAACATCTGCACGGATGATTAGCGCATAGAAATGACCTGCTTAACATTTAAGGAACCGAGGACGAGTCCCTTAAAAAGAAAGCTAACAATCGAAGCTCGATCGGCGGATAAATCGACACTCACCTGTTCCGAAACGAAATTTCGTATCGATTGGCTAATGCGTGATATCCATCATGGAAGCAATGCTCGAAGTTTCGATTCGACGTTGTATCGACATCGAGGACGAGAACAAAGTTAACTTTCTTTTCGAATAGAACACGGGCCGGATAAGTGAAATCTGGCGCCATTGCTGTCGCGTAATAACGGTCCGATCATGCTCATTTTCATGACAATAAACGGTGCGTTCGGTGTCGTAGATCGCCTCGATATGGAGACAACGCGAGTCGTACGTGAAATTTCTCGTAGGCCTGCACACGCGAACGTTCCGTTTTGTTTTACCCGCTTGAAACGGAACAAATTGCCCCCTTTTCAGGTGTACGCCTGGCAATAAAGATTTATATCAGGCGATACGGCTGACTTTGTATTTTTAATACGGCGATAAAATGATTTCGCCTTTTTATTACCTCGCGAGTACTTTCGTAAACGAATGCAGATCGAGAGTCAGCGATCGGTTGTCATTGAAATTCGAGAGGAAAATTTCTGCCCGCGGCGGACCTCCGTTAAGGATATCTCTTCGTTCGGTATCGTCTTGCGCCACTTTTCGAAATCATTCTGCAGACCCGTTGATCCATAAACGAGAAAGAACAATCGGTAAACCAGTTAGGGTAAACGCGGCGAAATTCGAACATGGGATTTTCGTGGACTGCACCGCGTTGCCGTTGTGCAATCGCGAGGAACGAGCACATCTCGAGCGCGTAACAAACGGACCGTGGCGGTTCGTACGTTGAAAAGAAGGGAAAAGGACAAAGCCAGTTTCCGGTGTCGAAACCGGCCGAGAAACGATTTATGCAATGCGCGACGTGCGTATCCCTCGGTGAGGAATTTGCGCCTTCTCGTGGCTTCGAACACCGAATACCCGTTCCAATTGCACGCGTCCAAGTTTCGGATCGGTATGGACGTTCCGACGTGGATCTCACGCGCAGATGCTCGCTCCGAATGTTTCTCGCTGCAGGCTAAAAATACTATGTAGCAGCGACCGATTATCCGTTTCCAAAAAAGACTGCTTAGAAGAAATAAGTCAGCGCGATAGTCAATTAACATTGTTCCAAGTGCTACGGACCTTGTAACACTAAGCGTCTTATCTGCGTAGCGCTTCCAAGGGGTTCGAAAAATCGGTTTATTCCGATCAAGGTAATGAATCATCGACGTTAACAGTACAAAATAACAATCGGCTTAATAAGAACAAGGTGAACGAGAGGGAGCTCGGTGTTCGAAGACTTTGCGAACCAGTTGGTATGCGACGTCCCCGAACAAAGCAGTCCTCAGGGTTCTTCTGCATAAATTCCCTACGAACGAACCCTTTTTTTTCCGTCGCTTCTTTCATACTACTAGCTCGTCTTCCCATTTATAACAAGGCAAGATTCTTGCATGGGAGGATCGTCGGTGCGTTTCGAAATGTCAAGCGCAAAATTTGAAATTCACCGAGTCAGGCTGCAGCTATTAATTATACGGGCAAAGCATGGAACTTAATTGGTGAAATTTGACCGTGGCAAAAACGCGGATCAGGATTAGCGGATTAGGATGCACAGAGTTGCACGTCGTGCTCGATTCGAGATTCATCCTGGAATTTCTGCTGGAGGAAATGTTACGACGATCGACAATGCGTTAAATTATTCTCTGCAATGACAGCAATCGTATCTAGAAATGAAAGAAAAGTAGCAGTCAATGGGTCGCTTCGTCGAATACAAATAAGCTCGATCGTTGTATAAGTTGCTAAAGCTGATCGAATCGATTTGCATTTTGCGATAACACCGGTTGAACGACGAAATCGTGGATCTATCTGGTGAAAGAAGAAATCGAATTTTTCTTGAAGAAACATCGTTTGAATACGTGGAAATATTTTTTGACACACCTTTGTATCTCCTAATTTATCACTCGCGTTCAAATTATTTCGATGTTTGTTATATTTAGTTATTTAACCTGTAACGTCACGGGCGTCGCATACGGATTGCGGCAATTCGAATATTTTTTAAGCCAATATTTCATTTATGATACCCGATTTTTACTCGTAAATCATCGTAATTTGCTGGTGTGTTAACGATCGCTCGACGTGCCGTAGATTTTCTGAGGATATTTTGAACAGGTGGCCGCGTAAACGAGACGCGTTGCGTGAACGTGCAAAAATTCGGCTACCTCTGGTAATGGTGGAATTCGAAAGAAAAAGAAGCATTTATCGCGACGAGCTTGTCCCAAGAATCACAAGAATCACAAGCCTGCAGAACCTTCCAAAAAGATTAAAATTAATTTCATCGACGCGACTCGAGATTTGTCCACTTACAAAAATGCGTTCTCAAACGTCTTCTGTGTCATCCATATTAATATTCCAGACTACCGTTCCGTCCTTGACGTCAGAGATGTTCTCATATCTCGTAGGCACAATGTCGATCAACGATATCGAATATCCTAGAAACAGAGGAAACGATTTGCATCGGACTATGGGCACCCTCGCGTTTCGAATCGCGTCCAAAAACGAGTTGAAAGGAACATTAAGACGAAATATCGATCTAGACTGAGAGAAGGGGCATAAGTTACCTTTCGCAAAAAAAGGAGCTGAAAGAGTTTTGCCTTGGATCACTTTTCGGAGAACCCTGCTTATCCCCCACGCCCAATTTCTTCTCACCGTTTCTGTAGGCCCGCCATTGCCCACCACCTCCGACCTGCTCAAGGGTTCGTCGTGGTCGTCACTCCGTATAAAAGCAGAGGATCTTCTTGGTATCTCATCAGTCGCAAAACAACGACGAACCAACTCCAATAGCGCAGCACCATGAACGCTAAGGTGAGCAGTCGAGCTTCTGGACAATTGCAACGATCTCGAGGACCAGTGTCTGCCGAAGATTGGGACAGACTTCGTAACGAAGGATCGAGAAACTCTGGTCTCGTCGGTGAAATAGAGATATACTTTCGAATTTCGTCGCTTGGAGATAGCTAGAAATAATTTTTCTATTTTAAACGATCGTCGTCGATGGATTCGGACAGCAAAGATCGGATTTCGAGTTTGTCATTCGTGAAAGTATCTATGGTTGAGACCAGGATCCGCACCGTTACATGATCCATCGTGTAAAAGAGAGTGACTTTCTTACGGAAGAACTGAGTGATTATTTTTCTTCCAGCTCTTCTTCATCCTCGCTTTCGTAGCAGTAGCCATCGCCGAAGATCAGGTCGATGGGGAGACGAAGAAAGACAAGAGAGGAATCTATGGATTAGGATATGGTCTGGGAGGTGGTGGTTATAGTGTGCCAGCCAGCCAAGCAGTCTCCGTTGTAACCAAGGAAGTGGCGGTTCCAGTACCTCATCCCGTTCCTGTTCCTGTCGAGAAGCAAGTTCCTGTCCCAGTTAAGGTAAAAATCCGAATTTCTCTGGTTCAATCGCGAGTAGATAGTACAGAATAGGTACGAATAAAAGCACGCACAGATCTCTCGATCCCTAGCGTGATAGAAATGCAACGTAGATAGAAAAAAATTGATATAATCGCGATTACGAAACCGAGAGCGATGAGCATAGCAGACTCGTGTTGCGGACCAAATTTGATACGCACTCATATCTGAATCAAGGTGACCGGCTTGCATACACGAAGACCTCGAGGACTTCGAGCTCGTATAAACGAGGACCTCGAGAACTCCAATCACGCTCTGTTTATCGCTGAATATCCGCTCGCATGATCGGTACAGAGCACCTTCATCATCGGCCGTTAATTAACGTTTCAATGTAAACGAGTGTCAGCATTTCGTAATTCAAGAATGTTACAAATCCCACACGTGCGTGCTACGTTTCTCGGAAAAGTCTGTAATCCAAACGACTCTATTTTATGTACATTCCTTGATCAATCACTTTGCTCCCGCTAATCACATATGATCTAGGATTGCGACATTGCACGCACCGAACTCTTCTCGGCTAACTTCTGTGCGAGAAAACGGGCGAAGGTGCCTCTCGAGTGTTCTCCGAGTCGTTTGATCAAAGCGTGTGTCGCTTGCTCGATGAAAGATCATCGAACATCTCTTATCTAACCATCGACACGAACTGTTCTTCAGGTACCAGTTGCTGTCCCGGTCGACCGACCCTATCCTGTCCACGTTCCGAGACCCTACCCAGTCGAGGTGACCAGGCACGTTCCAGTGCCAGTTGACAGGCCAGTCCCCGTTCCAGTCAGGGTTCCAGTGCCAGCCCCGTACCCCGTCAAAGTAGCGCAACCCTACGCTGTTCCAGTCGTCAAACAGATCGCAGTCCCGTACGTACAACCTGCAGTGGTCATCGACAAATACAGCGGTGGCTGGCCTCACGGTGGTTACTCCGGTGGCTACTCCGGTGGTTACTCCTCCTGGTAAACCTGGCATCGTTCACGTTCGCGGATTCGGGGGGAGCTAGCTTCTGTCATCGCTATAAGACGTGTCGCTGCACGAAATCGGAGCAACTGTTGGATCCCACTTCTAACGGAGGAGGTCTGCGCATCGATTCTCAACAAGATCGATCGAACGAAGAACTCCTGAGTCATCGACTTCATGTTCCAATTCTTCTTTCTGTACTTCACTTTGGATCTCAGCTCGTATGACGATGACGCGAAGATTGGTTCCCTTGGATGACAGGTGATCGGTGACGAGTCCCGAACGTCCTCCAACATCCGATCCGATTCGGCGGACTACTACTCGAGACGAATAAGTACGATCGAGTGTTCCTGTGGCATTAGACGTAATTGTTCTATCGCGGTAATTAGTCCTCCCTCTTGTACATGTAATTTGACGATCATTGTGCATCATAGAAATAAATGTCTCCTTTCGTACTAAAGAAACAGAACGAAATTTGTGTTTTCTATATCCTTTGACATTGGAAATATGCATAGTTTTTAAAGGAATATCAAAATACCGGAGAAACCTGTTTCCAAGCACTGGAAAATGCAAAGACGTCGAAAAGTTCGCTTGAGAAACGCAGTTTAAAAACGCGTTAAGTATTCAAGAAGCAATTACACGCTACGATGAAATTTCACGTAACTCACGAACGACCAATGGTGCAGAATCTGCACCAATAGTGCAGAATCTTCCTACTAAGATTAGGCAACCTTCAGTCACGAATTCGTAATAATCGAAAGTGAAGTTTAACAGAGAGGCGTGTAAATATGGGCAGAAAGAGTGGACGGCCGTGTGGTGTATGCTCATTAAGCGAGTAAAGGGTGCAGTTTGCCGCACGCGATTAACCAAATTTGCATGCACCGTACACCCATCAAATCGAGCCTCGTGAACCTTGAATAAAACGATGAAATTATGCAAGCGTTCCGGCTTCGACCGCGAAAGATCCGATTCCTCGTTCCAGCGAGGAAAGAACAGAGGACACTCGCCATTATAATACCACTGTTCAACGCGAATTCTAATCTGTAATGTCCGTTGATAGAAAATAACCTATCACGAATCCGTGATCGAAATTGCCCCATCATTCTTACTTTTTGAAAATTGTGAGTTTGTCCAAAAACGCACGCTTTTTGGCTAAAGCGAGGTATTATGTAAGAAGTAAGGATGTTAGTTAATTAATTTTTATCTTAAAAGTTCGACGAGAGTATCCCGCGTTTATTAATATCCGTAATTATAATTATTCGTGTTTCTGAATAATTATAATTGGTGATGGAAATTTAAAAATAAGCAGCTGAGCGTATTTGCTACGCAATATTCTTGCGTTTTTACAAAAATTTCTTTGTCACAGACGAATCTAGGAACAAAATTATCGAAACAGTAGTTTTCACTTTGATTAAATGGAGAAAATATTCGTGGGTAATGTGTATACGGGATTTTACCGTCATTGTCAGAACAATTTCGTTTACGGATTCGTGTTCCGAAAGTGAACTCTACGAGCATCACCTAATGAATATCACAGATTAGCGAGGAAGTACAAATTTGGTGGACAGTGTAATCGTCAAATCCTTGGAACGAAGGGAAAGCGCATAATTAAATTCGCGATTTCTCACTGGTCGCCTTTTACTAACTTCGTGTCGTCTTGTATCGCTCTTGAGTAATTCCCTAGACACTTTGAGCGAGAGAACGAGGTACTTTTTCAGCATGGTGTAGAATTTGTAACGAGAATCAAAGGATAGGATACAGTGTAGTTACACTTTTACTAGTAATTAGTTCTGGTACGTCTATCAATCACCGTATAGGAAAAAACAAGGATCGAGCCTAGATTACAGCTATGCATTCTATTATCGAGACAGTGTTTTCAATTCTAACGAGGAAACAGGAACCGATATTCTGACAGTTTCACCTCAGGAAACTTGTCACTGGTACCACTCGATCCTCTTACAATACCTGGACCAGTCAGCAGCAGTGCTTCGTTTCAGAAATAGATGAAGAATAGTTCAGGCATCGAATATAAATCTGGTAGACATTGAACCAGTCGAGGGACTCGGCAAACCGTGACACGATAATTCACTTTCCATTTTACCGGAGCATGAAAGCTCGGCCGACGTCACGGACGAGTCATTTTTCACGGATCATTGTTTCATTTTACCGGTGCAGCTACTCTGGGAACGGAAGTCGACATGGCAAGAGGGAACTAGAACTGGGACATCGCAGATATGAATTTTTATTAAAAAAAAAAGAATAGCAAAAGATAAACAGTGTCAACAAAAACAAACTACAAACAGAAACTTAACGAGGCAGGCTTAAATGGTACAGCGTATGTACAACTGAAATCGCGTGGACTGTTAGTTCAATGATGCGAATGGTAATCCGGCTGAGAGGGTTGGAAGTGTCCACCCTGTCCACCTTGGTCGTGGCCCTGATCGTTCACCGTGTAAGAGCTGTAGCTCTCCGACTCGTGGCCGATGTGGTCTTCCGAGTCGTAGCCACCGCCTCCACCGCCGATACCACCCTCGGAATGGCCATGAGCCTGATATGGAATCGGGTGTGGTACCGGGTAGAAGACTGGCTTGTTCACCGTTACCGGCTGGGGAACCGGAATCGGCTGGGGCACCGGGACTGCCTTCGGCACCACCACCGGTACTTGTTGATGAATCGCGATCGGGACCGGCTTAGACACCTCGACCGGCACGTGTTCCTGGACTTTCACTAGCTTCGTATACGGAACTGCGATGGGATGGTTTACTGGCACCGGGACGGGTATGTGATGGGGTACCTATAAAAGAGAAAGGAATTCTAGATCAACGAAACCGCCTACGAGAAGATCAGAGAGTCGATCTTGCGGTCTGGGGAGAAACAGGATCGTCCAGCTCGTGGTCTGGCGAAAGGGGTGGAGGTGTACATTCTACGTCCACGCATTCGTGTAAATAGCCCGAGTTTCTCGTCGAGTCACGTACAGTTTCGCGTTGGAAATGGACGGTGATCGAGTGGATGGAAAAGTCGGTCGGTGCTTTAAAACGTGTAAGAGATACCTTGACTGGATACGGCACTGGCACTTTGACCACTGCGGTTTTAGTGACCTTGATGATTTTCGTGGGTATCTCTTTCAGGTGCACCGATTGCGAGATGAGTTTCGGCTCGCTGACGAGGCCATGGCCTTCCAGGGAGGAGAAATGGGTGGCCCTTGCGGCCACTATGGCCAATGCGAACAAAAACTGCAAACGTACAATCGCGATTAAGGTTCGCCGAAGCACGATCGAATCGATCAGCTGAAAGAATCTCTCGCGATCCCGATGCTGAAAAATTCCTTTCACTTTTTACGCTTCCCGTACAAAAGTAGAAATTTTGAGCGAGCCTACTTCCGCGTCGATCAATTCAGCTAGCGACACAAGTGAACGGTGCCGCGAGATCATACTTTCACTCCAAATTTTTTCGACACAATGCAGAACTATGAACATCGATAATCTACATATACCAGCTCGTCTAATGATTTCCAAAGGATTAGCGATACTTTCTCCGAGTTCTTTCTCGAGTAATCACTTTCGGGACTCGAACTCGTCTCGGTGGCCAACTGATTTTCCGTTAATTCACTAGAGTTACACCTTCACAGGATTACTATGAAAAATTCTAAGGAATAACGGTTCGTATGCCACGATGACCGCCAGCTTCGGGTTGCTCTGGTCGCGGCGACGATTAGCTCTAGCGATACGATAGTTGTCGATGGTGAACTTACTACTTGCAACATCCTTATCCGGTTCGTAGGTATAAGCAGATAGGTGTTTCCGATGGGACGAATCACACTGACAATTGCAGTACCAGCAGTTGCTTATATACGAGGACCTTCACCGACACCGATTCACGAAGAAAGCACTCTCTTTCCGACTGGCTTGCGTTCTCCAATCTTGTCTCCGCTTCTCCCCTTTTTTTCCTTCCTCTTCTCGTGGCGTTCCTCGAGTTCGACGACCGCAGCCACGTCCGGTCTCCGTCGACGGCCACTACGCTCGGTTTCCAACGCAATCGAAATCGATCCCCGTACCATGGCATCCTGAGTCTCTGCCGAAAGGCAATCTCTGTTTACTCTCTCGTAACTGACCCCGTCAAGCAGCTTCCCCTTCTGATCATCCCGTGACTTTTTTCTTCTCCGTTTCTTCCTCATTCCGGCAGATAAACCAACGGCAATTCGTTAAGGATCTCACCCTCTTGTCGCGTGCGTGCAAGTCCGAGTCTCCGTCCACCGGAATCACCTGTTCGCGTTTCGAGCGTGTAAATCGTGTCGTCGCGAGTGTCGACGAGTCTACACAGTCGGATGCATAAGCCGTTATGTAACCGAGGGATTACGCGATTCTTCCGCGATGACACCTCGGGATTATCGTTTCAATTACGATGTCCACGCGAGTATCGACGATCGTCGGACATCTCTTACTTCGAAGGTTACATTCGCTCAACTTTCACCGAAATTAAAGTCGATTCCTGAACGGATGTTCGCAGAATCTCTTAATAGATTGGAAAGCGAGGAGAAGAAAATTTCGCCGAATATCTCGACGACAGATTCGTTCGACACGAATTTCGCGGAGATTAATAATTAGCCAGAGGTAAATGTATTTCAAACGTGTCTTTTTGTCTCCCCCCTTAATTGCATCGTGCGTGAGATTCCCACGTGCGAATTGTTCTCGGAATCTTCGTGATCTCCCTGTGGACCCTCGAGGTGGGCCGGAAACGTATTAGGAAGTAACACTTCCTCCGGGAAGTTAAGTGCAATTTGCCGCGGTAAATATGGTGAGAGCAATGGAGAATTCTGAAATGCGAACAGCGATTCACGGTCGAGGGAGAGAACGGTGAAAGGATTATCGTTCTCAAAGACCAAAAGAACGTCCAAAGTAAAAGGACTAATCTGGATCATCTGGTTCTTTCTACGCTCGCGCAGCGGCGTGTCTGCTCGTATGCACTCGTGCGCGGAAACGACCGCTGTCTCTGCCTATAAAACGTGTAGCAAAGCTACGTTACACGGTACTGACGACGCTACTCCGCTGTCACGATGTACCCGAGCTGTCATTGAAATTCCTATCATCCTAATATCCGTAGACGATGAGCTAGCTCGTCGTTGGAAAATTCTTCTCGAAGTATAACCACACGGATCGTCACGGATATTTGAAAACGTTCAATTAAACTCCGCGAATTATTCTGTCTCCCAGTCCTGGCGAATTTTGATCAGGCGAGTGAATGAATCGATTGGTCAAATATTCGAGTACAAGATGAGTTTCGTACGTATATATGTATATACTTGAATAACAAAATTGAAACTAACAAGGAGAGTGCAAGTCCTTCGGGTCACCGATTTAATTGAAACTTTGCAGGTTTGTAGATTTCGTCATACAGTCTAAGAATGTATACCATTATACCCGCCACTATTCGATAGTTTTTAAGATATTTACGATTAAAGTTTTATTACTTCCGTAACTACAGATTTATTTCCTATGGCTTTTATACAGTGTTGAACCCCGGACCCACAACATAGGAACTTTCGGGTGTTGCCGTTAGGCCACAACACCGTTTTAAAACCATTGCAAATAAATCTGTAGTTAAAGAGGTAATAAAACTTTAAAACTTTAATCGTAAATATCTCAAAAACTATCGAATAGTGGCAGGTACAATGGTATATATTCTTGGACTGCATGACGAAATCTACAAACCTACAAAGTTTCAATTAAATCGGTGACCCGAAGGACTTGCACTCTCCTTGTAAGCAGGAATTAAAAAATTTGGTAAGACAATCATTTGTACTTGCTTGTGCAGAGAAGTTTGTCCATTAATTAAATAATTGTAAAATTTTTATTTATCAGTTTGTGGAACATATTCGAAATTCCTTTTTCTCTCCTTTTTTCGACGAATTCTCTTCGCCTTTCCTTTACCTCGTAGGTAACGTTTTCCTGTAGACTGCAGAAATTTGATTATCCACGGTGTGGGTGTGCCTCGCAAGTAAGCGCATATATGTATATACTTGAATAACAAAATTGAAACTAACAAGGAGAGTGCAAGTCCTTCGGGTCACCGATTTAATTGAAACTTTGCAGGTTTGTAGATTTCGTCATACAGTCTAAGAATGTATACCATTATACCCGCCACTATTCGATAGTTTTTAAGATATTTACGATTAAAGTTTTATTACTTCCGTAACTACAGATTTATTTCCTATGGCTTTTATACAGTGTTGAACCCCGGACCCACAACATAGGAACTTTCGGGTGTTGCCGTTAGGCCACAACACCGTTTTAAAACCATTGCAAATAAATCTGTAGTTAAAGAGGTAATAAAACTTTAAAACTTTAATCGTAAATATCTCAAAAACTATCGAATAGTGGCAGGGACAATGGTATATATTCTTGGACTGCATGACGAAATCTACAAACCTACAAAGTTTCAATTAAATCGGTGACCCGAAGGACTTGCACTCTCCTTGTAAGCAGGAATTAAAAAATTTGGTAAGACAATCATTTGTACTTGCTTGTGCAGAGAAGTTTGTCCATTAATTAAATAATTGTAAAATTTTTATTTATCAGTTTGTGGAACATATTCGAAATTCCTTTTTCTCTCCTTTTTTCGACGAATTCTCTTCGCCTTTCCTTTACCTCGTAGGTAACGTTTTCCTGTAGACTGCAGAAATTTGATTATCCACGGTGTGGGTGTGCCTCGCAAGTAAGCGCAATGGATTGTGTATCGCGTTTAATCGGTGACTGTGAGACGGTCCTTTCTTAAGGGCGGTAAAAACCGGTTCGGTACAAAAGCAAAAGTAAAATCATTATCCGGCCAGCCCTCTTTCTCCTCTCACTTTCGATGAAAACTGGTGATCCCGTGCCGAAATACGCGCTGTTCGTTGCGCGAAGAATGTTCGAGCGTTAGCACTATAGTCGCCTATCGCCCGTAATTAAGCTTTCCGTCGATTTTGCTCGCAACTTCTCATGAATAAAAGCCGGTCTTAATATTTCCTCGAATTATTCCTATTTCGTCCGTATTCCAGGAGAAAGGCAGCAAGTTGAAAAAGGCATAAAACAAGAATATCCACTGGAACGAGCGGCTCGTGAGAGGAGCGGCATTCGCGTCTGAAACATAAAGCGTCGAATTTCGTTTTATTCGTCACAATATAGCTTTTCTGGATTAACTTTCACGGCCGATTCTCGGCTACGTGAAATAGACGAGTGCGTTATCTGGGTCTTGAACCTAATTTTCCAGGCACGTCAGGTTGGCTATCGAATCTCGTGCACTCGAACGAGATCACGAACGAGAGAACCTGAGCCACCGCAGGAATCTGCTTTCAAGATCATCTTCTTCCATTTTTCTGCTGGGAAATAGATTAAAGGAGCGGTGGAAGGAACGACAGTAGTGACAGCGGGGAAACCTGCCTTTTCTGCGGCAGTTGGGTGAAACGCGAGCCGATACGTGCGCAAGATAATCAGGGTAATTAGAACACGAGGCCGGGACCCTTTCCTTCCGCAACTCGCCGAGGAAGCAAGCTTGTTATAACCAATGTCCATAAACGAACATAATATCGTATGCTCTGATTTAATGGGGCCCTGATTCTGCACGATACGCACACGCGCAGACGAGTTTAATGGTAATTTATGCCTTCACTCTCACCTCAACTTACTGTACGACTCAATCTTCTTTCAATCACCCTCAATCGTTAAATCGTAATACTTCTTTTTAAAACGAGGCAAATTATTTTTTACAGCGATCTCGCCTTGTTTATATGTAGAAATAATAAGCTAGCTTCTCTGGATGTTAATCGATCCACCGTGAAATTACAGCGTGACACGAGCGAGAGGATTTCTATGGCTCCTAAGTGACAGCTTCTTTCCTAGTTTACCTGATTTCGAAGAAATCTACTAGCAGGCGATATCACGGTGTTCGTGGCAGGGATCTTGGAACTTCCAGGTTTCGATAACAGATAGAGCCACTGTACTATCTAGGTAAAAAATGCAATTTGGGAGCAATTAGAAAATCCCTATTAACCCTTTGCACTCGAGAGGTGCCTTTCAGTCGCCATTTCATAAAATTTCCAACATCTGTATTAATTAATATGTCAAATTTATAATAACGTATCAGTGTGCGAGATATCGAAATTAAATAATTCCACGTGTTAATTATTATACAATTTTTTATTCACTGCTCAAAATAATATCGCCAGCTTTGTAGCAGAAAATTTTTGAACTCCTACTCTTCTCTAGTCAAAAAGTGGTCGAGTGCAAAGGGTTAAATCTAGTAACCTATTGATATAAAATTATATTTCTAAGCATATATTAACTTCGATCGTACCTGACCTCGAATATTTATTTTTACACCTGTGTGTGTGCGAATGTATAAGAATATGTATAAATCAATCCAAGAATGAAAGGAAACAAATTTGTTAATCTTTGATAGTTAATTTTAATTTTCCTTGTCAATGTCAATGAAAATTTGGCAGCTTCTTGTTTATTATTTCTTCGGGAATCGATTATTTATTATAGATGTTTCTTAGAAAAGAATTGAACTCCATTCAATAATATTGGATTTCTGACTAGTTCCATTATCGTGGATCGTTATGCAATAGTCTTCAATTTCCAGCAGATCAGGATTTCTTAACGAGACTGTCTCATCAAGCTGTTCGTTATGCAATTAATGCAATACCAATGTCTCGAATTAGCCATTGGGTAGGTCCATTCATCATGTGGAAACAAGTCTATGCTGGTATGGACAAAGTGTTACAGGTTT